ATTTGAACCTTACTCTACAACTACAAGTAGCCACTAAATAATTTCGGGTGAAAATCAACAGATCAGATCCAAGTCTCAGGAGAACCCTGCTGCAGAGGAGTGGAGGGAGGACTGGGTAAGGAGAGAAAAGAGGGCAAAGGACTCTGGATGCATGGGGTGGGGTCACTTTGGCTGTGCAGAATCAGAGGGGGCTTGAAAGCCCAATACAGAAGGCTCTGAGAGAGAGAGCCCCTGAAGCAGGTGGAGGCAGAGGCAGGAAGGCACCCAACCTCTCCAGAGGCCTGTTTTGAAACCTGTGTGGCTGGAGGGAAGACTCTGAAAGGGTCAAGTGGTTTGATGGAAGGTGATGAGCCTTGTGTGCCAGGTGATATTGTGTCTTTGTCCTGGACACAAGGTGAATGACATGATGGAGGAGATGCTTTAGAGAGGGCTCCTAATACCTGGTGTTTCTCCCATTCCTTTCCCTCCTTCACCCCAGGGGCTGGCATCCACCACCTCCACTCCACTGAAACTGGTCTCCCACAAAGATCTCCTAACAAAAGGCAGTATGGTCTTGCCTGAGGATTCACCCTATGCCACCTCCTTGAAACTCTCTCCTCACTCAGTTTTGACTAACTTCCTCCTACCTCTGTGGCTTCATCTCTGTGTCCTTCCATGACCTACCCTGCCGCTTCCCACTCCAGAACTGGTGGTATGCGCTGAAACACACTCCGCAACCCTCTGTGTCTCTGGCTTTGCAGGCTCATCTCCCTTCACTCTCAACTCTGTACTGACCACTCCTCCATCCACCTCTCTCCAGCCCTGCCTGACCCATATCCCTCAGCTATGGAGGATCTTGTCTTGGCTGTCCCTTCTTCACTCAAGCTCATCATGACCTCTTAAAAAAATTCTTTCATTTCTAACTTCCTCTCTCCTTTGGTCACCTACTCTCCTACTCTCCTTTGGTGGCCTACAAGTTGTCCTTGACATCCCTTCTCCCTAACTCCCTATCATATCAACTCAGCAAATATTTATTGAGCATCTACTATGTACTATGTTCTGTACTACGTCAATAGGTTACTGGATTACAGAGTAACTTATTTTCCCGAAACAACCCTCAGATTCACCCTTTCTCCTCTTCCCTCCCATAAGCTACTCTCTCCTTTGTCCACAGGTGGTTTCCTGGGTCTGTCTCCCAGGTATTTTCCCTCCCTTCCCCTAACCCCCTTCCATATCCTATGGCAGATGGTCTTCACAAAGCCTACTGTCACCATGTTACACTCTGCCTTTTTTTTTAATTTTAATTTTTATTTTTTGAGACAAAGTTCACTCTGTCTCCCAGGCTGGAGTGCAGTGGCATGATCACAGCTCACGGCAGCCTTGACCTCCCAGGCTCAAGTGATCCTCCCACCTCAGCCTCCCAGGTAGTTGGGATGACAGGTATGTGCCACCACACATGGCTAATTTTTAAAATTTTTTGTATAGATAGGGTCTCATTATATTTCCCAGGGTGGTCTTGAACTCCTGGGTTCAAGCGATCCTCCTGCTTCATCCTCCCAGAGTGCTGGGATTACAGGTGTGAGCCACTGGAACCAGCCCGCTCTGCCTATTTATTTATTTTTAGACAGAATCTCACTCTTGTCACCCAGGCTGGAGTACAATGGCGTGATCTCGGCTCACTGCAACCTCCACCTCCCGGGTTCAAGCAATTCTCCTGCTTTAGCCTCCCGAGCAGCTGGGACTACAGGCATACGCCACCAGGCCTGGCTAATTTTTGTATTTTTTAGTAGAGACGGGGTTTCACCATGTTGGCCAAGCTGGTCTTGAACTCCTGACCTTGGGTGATCCACCCACCTCAGCTTCCCAAAGTGCTGGGATTACAGGCGTGAGCCACTGCACCTGGCCTCTGCCTAACTCTTAACATTGTCTATTCTATAATCTGGACCCACTTTACCTACCCAGCTTCACTCCCCGCAACTCTCCTGTAGGAATCTTTACTTCTAATGATAGTGATTCCCTCATGAAGCCCTCCCAGCCCCATATTCCAAGTCACTCTCTACTTGGAATGCCTTTGCTTATGCTGTCCCTGCATAGGGACACCCTTCACAGCCTTTCCACCCTTCACGGCCTTTCTCGCCCATCTGCCAAGGTCCTGGGTAAGCCCATTGCCTCTGCTGCCCAGTCCATCCTTCACCTACAGCCACAATATTGCACGTCTACCAGGCACTTACACATAGCACTTGTGTGTACCCGGTCAATGTGAGTCTCAGATTCCTCCAGCTGAGAAGCCAAACCTCACTGGATAAAGAGAAATCTCCCCACAAAACAAGGGCTGAGACGTCTTCAGTGTCACTGTGCTAAGTGTCAACCAGAGATTTAAAAACCCTTGCTGTCGGATCAGTGGGTTTCAGCCCCAGCGGACATCCGGAAGGAGACTCTTGTTCCAGATCCAAATACTCTGTCCTCATCTCTCTCCCCCTCACCATGGCAGCTGCAATCTCTTCCGGGCTGTCCCCATCCAGATCAAATCGGAAGGTCACCATCTTGCTGTTATGGGTCTGTAGCTGGCACTCAACCACTCTGTCACTCTGGTCTGAGACCTTCAGATTCAAAGTCAGCAGAGGGGAGGAAGTCAAGCCCTCTGTCATCATGCTGTGTCTCCACCCTAACCCAGCCAAGTGACAGCAGCCACAATGGACTTGGAGATAAGTAGATCCCACCCCTAAAGTCTGGTCGCCTCTTGAGTACCAGTCACACACTGCTTCTCCCCTTTTCTGGGTGACCCCCCCGGCTTTCCCCTGACACTCCCCTCCTGGCCCTGTAGGTTACTCTCTATCTCCTGTACTCCATCCTTACACTAGTGACCCGCAGCCGGGATCGGGGTCTGCGCCGGAGATTCCTCCCTGGGGGTCTCCTCATTTGTCCCATCCCTTCTCCCACATCGCTAAGGCCTGAAGCTGCATCTGAGGCATAGCTGGTAAAGAGAAAGGAGATAGAATGACTGTCAGAGCAGACATTGAGACCCTAGTGTCCCAAGTGTCTCACCCTGGCACCCCAACTTGTACTAGAACATACCTGTCCCCAGGGGAAAAGTCACTTCCAGGGCCAGAACGTGGAATGGATAGGGCAAAAGCCTGAAACAGGATAAGGGTTCACGAGGTCAGGGGAAGATAACTGTTGCAATCTAGGGAGATGGTGTCAAGGATGCTGGGAGGATATTAGGGAGATAGAATTAGGGAAAAGGAGGACAAGAATGATAGATTTCCAGGGACATAGGGCTGGATCATGAGATTGGGTTTCACAAGGAGGGAGATAGGTCATAGGCCTGGAATGGCTGGGAGTCCCCCATGCAACCCCCTCTCACCGAGGGCAGGCAGAGATGGGACTCAGCTGGGCTAGATGGCACCCCCCCAGGGGGCTGAAGGGCAGGGTCTGAGGCATCCAGGAAGCCGGAGGAGCTGAGGTAGCCATCAGTCTCGCAATCCGCTGGTTGGGGAGGGAGGGGATCAAGAAAACGGGAAATGAAAGGGAATAGTGGCAGAGGAAGGGGCCTGCCTAAGCAAGGAGGGGCCTGGAGCTGTGGGAGAGTTCCTTCCTGGAGGGAGCTTCATGGCTAGAGGTGGAAGGCAGGGTAAGTGACTGCGGTGGGAGTGAATTTCTGGGTTTGGGACAGAGTCCAAGGTGTTCTGGGACCTATGTCTCAAGATCAGGGTGACTTACAGGTGGTAGATGAGTAGCTGGCGTGGCGGAAAAGGAAGGGCTGATGCTGGTCTGCCTCTGGCTCCTCAGGTTCAGGGGGGAAAGCACTGGGGGGACCAGGAGCCATGGGCACAGTTGCTGGTGGAGGTCCTGGCTCTGGTGGGAGTGCCTCCAATTCCCTTGCTTTACGCAGCTTCTCACGCTTTCGCTGGATGGCGGCAACCCGTTCACGTACTGCACGGGCCACTGGTTGGTAATCGGCTTCACAGACCAAGCCCAAAGCTACCTGGAGTTGGGGTGGGGGATGAGGAACACAGCTTGGGACTCCCTCTCAAAGATCCATCAGGACACCTTCTTGGGAACTCCGGGATATGAGAGGAAGGAAACCAACACTTACTGATGACCCACTATGTCTGCTAACTGGCAGCTCCTTACATTATCATCATTAGATCCTCCAAACAACCTTGTGGAATAAACCTTACCATTCCATTTTAGAGAGTAATGAATTGACCAGTTCATGGTTATACAGTAAGTCAGTGGTTTCCAATGGGAAGAAGAGATGTTTGGCAATATCTAGAGACATTTTTAGTTGCCACAACTCAAAGGTAGATGCTACTGAATCTAGTGAGTAGAAGCCAGGGGTTTTTCTCAATATCCTACAATGTACAGGGCAGTCCCTAAAACAAAGATGCCAACAGTACCAAGGCCAAGAATCCCTTGTCAGCAATGGATCAAGATTGGATCTCAGGTCAGGTTGGGCCATGATATGGAGACCTGCTCTAAATTTCTAACACATTCTCAGATTCTTGTCCCACCGTAGGTGGTCTCCACCCTTGCAACGGTCATGTCTGTATTAAGAATCCCATACTCAGCCGGGCACGGTGGTTCACACCTGTAATCCCAGCAATTTGGGAGGCCAAGACAGGTGGATCACTTGAGGTCAGGAGTTCGAGACCAGCCTGGCCAACATGGTGAAACCCCGTCTCTACTAAAAAATACAAAAATTAGCTGGGCATTGTGGCTCGTGCCTGTAATCCCCGCTATTGGGGAGGCTAAGGCAGGAGAACTGCTTGAACCCAGGAGGCGAAGGTTGCAATGAGCTGAGATAGTGCCACTGCACTCCAGCCTGGATGACAGAGTGAGACTCCATTACTCCCCAAAAAGAATCTCATACTCCCTTCAGGACTTCCTAAGCCAGTCCCCAGGCGTCTGCCCTTGCATCTTATGCCTCTCCCCTTCTACCAGCTTCCATTCATCACCTCCTCTTTCCTTTTAGCCACAAGCTTTGCTGAGTGAGTAAAGGAGGTGGGGAAGGGTAACCTGATTTAAAATCTGAACCACCTCAGTTTCAATCCAGCTCTTCCACTTACCTACTTGGGGCACTGGACAAGGTATTCAACCTCTCTAAATTTCCATTTCCTTATCAACAAGTTGAGATAAAACTGCCCCCTATGCAGGATGGGTAGCAAAGACCAAATGCATGTGAAAGTGCTTTAAGCCATGTACAGATGTGGGCTATTAATGAGCTCTTACTATGTGCCAAGCACTGCCAGGGATAGAAGAATCAATAAACACAGTCTCTGCCCTCAGGGAGTTTATAGTCTAGTGGAGAAGAAAGATAGGAACTTATTCAGGTCTAAGACAGGACCGATAGTGGGGAGTGCTGTAACAGAGAACTTGCTGAAGTGGAAAGAAGCATTTAAGTTTGACTCCAGAGGGGATGGCTTCCCGAAATCGATGGTTCTGATCATATTGGAAGAAAAAGAAAAAGAACAAGGGGGAGGGAGGAAAGAAGGAAAAGATAAATTGGCAAGAAGGGCATTCCAGGAAGAACAGATCAGCTGCAGGTAAAGCAGGGATGCTGGAGGACCCAGGGCTCCCTCTGTAAAGGAAAACTGGGTGTGGGTGCAGGTAAGTTAGGGCTGGAGAGGTAGGGAGACGCTGCAGGAGATTCTAAGAGGAGTAAGGTGCCCCGCCCCCATCGCTGCCACGCCTCCTGCGCCCCATCCCTGTTGTACTATCTCTTCGGGTCAATGCCCTTTACACGTCCACTGGCAGCACAGTCTGTCCTCCGCTCACCATCTCCTGTGCCACCTCCTCGGCCGCGTCCCGGCCCAGTTGGAACAGGAACTCGATAGCCTGGTTGTCCCGTGGGCGCCCCCCACGCCGCGCGTCCTCCATGCGCAACCAGAGCTTGAGGCCTGGCTTCTCGCCGTCGTCCTCCTCCGCTAGTTCCACGTGCACACCGCGCTCCTCGCGGAAGAAGGCGTGGGCCAGGAGGTCCTGGATGGTGAACCTGAGGGTGACGCAAGGGGTTAGCCCAGCCCGTCGCGGCCCGTGGCCCTACTCTACCCATGCTCTGCCCTTTCACCCCCACCTCTCGTTCTTATCCGTGCGGATGCAGCCTTCAATGATCTCCTTCACCTCGGGTATCTTCACCTTGTAGAAGCTGTTCGGCTTTCTGCCCTGGGGGAAGGGGTTGCATGACACCTCCGGTGCTTTGATCCCCAGCTCTCGGCTTGACACTCCCCCACCCCTTACTCCACTCCCGCCTTAGGCAGCTACGCGTGCAGTTGCAAAAGCCTGACTGCCACTGGAAGATGTGATTTCAAATCTCACTCCCCGCCAAGTATTTACAGTGTGACCTTGAACAAGTCTCCCGCTGTTTGTTCATCTGTAAATTGCAGGGTGGAACATTTGCCCCGCTCACCTCACAGGGCAGCTGGAAGGATTGGATGAGAGATGGGATGCGAAATCATTTGTGAACTCTTGGGAGCACCACACATATTATTCTAAATAGCGTGTACTGGAGGGGGTGCGTGTGCATTCAATATCCTGTGTTCACCAAGGCGACTCTGTCTAGCCTGTTTTCGTGCAGGCAAAGGGCACTGACTGCGGGCTGGCCGGGGCAGGAAAATGGGAAGTGGCCCTGGAATTGCCTTTCCCGCCAGCCCCATCCCTCTCACCGAAGTGACCTTGCGGTAGATTTGCGCGGCATTCTGGCACTCGGAGTACGGGTACTCAGAGGTGGCCATCTCCAGCATGCACATGCCGAACGCGTACACGTCCACGGCCTCATCGTACTTTTCCTCGTACATCTCGGGGGCCATGAATTCCGGGGTCCCTGTAGGGTCAACAGCAGGGATCAGGTTGCTGGGCACTCTGGCCTTGTCCTTCCCATTGGGCTAGGTAGCCCCAGGCAACCCTGCGAGTGCAAGTGACCCCGGCCCACAGTGGGGTTGAGGAGGGATGCCATAGGTCTCCTCAGCTCCCCTGTCATCTGGTAGTTCCGCGGACCTTGAAGGCCCTTGCTGAGGGGAGGGAGTACCCAGGTTCTCTTCTGAGGTGGGGGAGGAAGGAATGGCATGGACCCTCCTGGAGAGACGCACCGATGACACTCTTGGCAAAGGAGGCGCGCTTGAGCGTGGCCAGGCCCAGGTCCCCGATTTTGACGGAGCCAGTAGGGCCCGTGATAAAGACATTGTCGCACTTGAGATCCCGGTGCAGGATGGGAGGAACCCGGGAGTGTAGGAAATGAAGTCCCCGCAGGATTTGGCGGCTCCAGCGCTGAAGGACTCGCGGCTTCATCTCCCGGAACCGCCTCAGGTACCTGGGGGAGGGCACATAGCAAGGGTCCTGGTGGGGGACACGGCCAATGGGGAGGAGTCCCCTCACTGGGAAGTTCCCCCCTGCAGCACCCTGCTGCCGCCTCCGCATCTTCTGCCAGCATTCTCCTAGTCTATGTCTGCCTGGCCACAGGGAGAAACTGAGTCAGGGGGTGTGGTGGATAGACGTGACGTTACCAAACAGGTTGGGAAGTAAATTGATAGGGTCGCAGCCAAGGTGCTGTGGAAGCGCAGGAAAGGATGACTAACTGCCCCAAGCATGAGGGAGGGCTTCGGAGAGGAAATACTTTTGTGTTGCATCTTGAATGATGAGTAGGAGCTCAAAGGTGAAAGGGAGAAGGGATGGAGACTTCCCAGGCAGACAGGACACTATGCTCAAAGGCACAGAAAAAGCCAGTGACAAGGCAGGGTGGGACGAGGTGCCAGGAATTTGGTGTGATTGGAACTTAGGCTAAAAATGAGGCTGTATCCCAAGGCGTCTGTGAACAGGTGAGCCTGTGTGGGCTTTATTCCAAGGCCATGGGAAACTTTGAAGGGGTTTTAAGGAGGGGAGTGACAGTTCAGATTTTCGACTGGGAAAGATCCTCCAGGCTGCAGGAAGATAGGATCGCTTAGAGGGTGGCAGAGTTTGGGAAGGCCCTTCAGGAGGCTGCTGCAGGGCTCCAGATCAGCGAGATGGCATTAGGTGGTGGCATGGATGAAGCAGTGAAAGCCAGGTGGGGAGAGGTTAAGGAAAGACTTGGGGACAGACTGATGAGGGGGCAGAGTGGAGAGAGGGGAGTCTGGGGAGACACCCAAGTTTTTGACTGGAGTGCTGGGTGGACATTGCCACTCACCGAGGCAAAGGCTGGGTGAGAGGGAGATGATGAACCTGGTTTTACACCTGGATATTAGAGAGTTTGAGGAACCTGGGAGTTCAGGAAGCAGTGGGCACACATCCCAGTCTCCCTCTCCCCACCCACTCATGCGCAGAGCTCACGTCTTAAGTGTGCCCGAGGTCATGAGTTCGGTGACCAACACGATGCAAACCTGGCCCCTCAGCACTGACTTCCACGAATCGTAGAAGCGGACGATGTTGGGGTGCTGCAGCCCCTTGAGCATCTCCACCTCCTCTGAGAAGCGCTGCCGCTCAGCTCTAGATAGTTTCCGAGTCTGTGGGATGGGGGACGGGTGTCATGTCAGGCCCAGGACCCCCACAGAAAGGAACACCTGGAGTGGGGTTGGGGGAAGAAGTAAGGGTTGGAGCCCACAGATGGGGTGGGATTAGTGGGATCACTCGCCCAGTGGGCTGCAGACCCTGAACTCTCCAACAGTCCCCCACGTAAGCTGATCCAAGGACACACCCAACCTGGGCCTGGGGCAGCCCCCTAGACCCCCTGCTGGACACAAGCTCCTTTATGCAGCCCGGTCCCGGAGTCCTGAGCTCAATAGTGCCTTTGTGGCTGCCCAGGCCGGCCATGGGGCGGGAGGGGGCCCCCCGGGGGCTGGCAGTGAGCAGGCAGCAGGCGGGCAGCAGGAGACCGCGGGCAGGGAATTGGGGCCGGCAAGGGGGTTGGCCCCAGAAACTGGGAACTGCTAGATCCAGACAGAAGGCAGGAGGGATATGGAGGTTGGTACTGAGAAGGAAAGAAAAGATCCAGAACTAGGTGCCAAGAGGCCGCCCACCCCCATAGTTGTCCCGCCCCG